CTATTTATGCTTTCCAGGGTTTATAACTTGCTGCTACTTAACGTGACCAAGTCACCAGGTGAAACCCTATCAGCAATGTTTCATTAGAATAAATCCATAAAATAATACATTAAACATTATAACTGATATGTTATGAACCACAGGGGGACAAATAGCGGAAGTTGAATCTTCTGTCACGCATGCACGCACGCACGCACGCACGCACGCACGCACAATGGAGTGGTGGCTCTGGGGCTTGGGATCTATGCCAGGAAGTAGAAGGGTGCTGGTTCAAATCCCATGAATGCCCAGAGTGATTCTACTCTGCTGGGCCCCTGAGCAAGGCCCTTAACCTGCAATGGCTTCATCCTGTGTATGATGTTAATCTACATCCAGCCCTATAAGGAAATCCTACAACTTTTAATTAACTAACAGCGAATAACTTATGGGTTGGTGGCAGGATTGGCACTCCAGCCACCGGAAAAAACGTCACACTGGTCCGTTTGGTCGGAGGTATCACCTACCACATGGCTGCACTCAGGCTCTCATCTCTGAGGGAGGTACTTTGTCATGTGGTGAGTGTGGCAACACACTGTAATCAGTGCATGGTCCTTACCTCTATATATACACTCACCTAAAGGATTATTAGGAACACCTGTTCAATTTCTCATTAATGCAATTATCTAATCAACCAAACACATGGCAGTTGCTTCAATGCATTTAGGGGTGTGGTCCTGGTCAAGACAATCTCCTGAACTCCAAACTGAATGTCAGAATGGGAAAGAAAGGTGATTTAAGCAATTTTGAGCGTGGCATGGTTGTTGGTGCCAGACGGGCCGGTCTGAGTATTTCACAATCTGCTCAGTTACTGGGATTTTCACGCACAACCATTTCTAGGGTTTACAAAGAATGGTGTGCAAAGGGAAAAACATCCAGTATGCGGCAGTCCTGTGGGCGAAAATGCCTTGTTGATGCTAGAGGTCAGAGGAGAATGGGCCGACTGATTCAAGCTGATAGAAGAGCAACTTTGACTGAAATAACCACTCGTTACAACCGAGGTATGCAGCAAAGCATTTGTGAAGCCACAACACGCACAACCTTGAGGCGGATGGGCTACAACAGCGGAAGACCCCACCGGGTACCACTCATCTCCACTACAAATAGGAAAAAGAGGCTACAATTTGCACAAGCTCACCAAAATTGGACAGTTGAAGACTGGAAAAATGTTGCCTGGTCTGATGAGTCTCGATTTCTGTTGAGACATTCAAATGGTAGAGTCAGAATTTGGCGTAAACAGAATGAGAACATGGATCCATCATGCCTTGTTACCACTGTGCAGGCTGCTGGTGGTGGTGTAATGGTGTGGGGGATGTTTTCTTGGCACACTTTAGGCCCCTTAGTGCCAATTGGGCATCGTTTAAATGCCACGGTCTACCTGAGCATTGTTTCTGACCATGTCCATCCCTTTATGACCACCATGTACCCATCCTCTGATGGCTACTTCCAGCAGGATAATGCACCATGTCACAAAGCTCGAATCATTTCAAATTGGTTTCTTGAACATGACAATGAGTTCACTGTACTAAAATGGCCCCCACAGTCACCAGATCTCAACCCAATAGAGCATCTTTGGGATGTGGTGGAATGGGAGCTTAATGCCCTGGATGTGCATCCCACAAATCTCCATCAACTGCAAGATGCTATCCTATCAATATGGGCCAACATTTCTAAAGAATGCTTTCAGTACCTTGTTGAATCAATGCCACGTAGAATTAAGGCAGTTCTGAAGGCGAAAGGGGGTCAAACACCGTATTAGTATGGTGTTCCTAATAATCCTTTAGGTGAGTGTATATTTTTTTCCTGTTCATTTTTGTGTGAAACAGAAAGTGGAACTATTGTGGATTTGCTGAAAATTAATATTATCATATATCATGGAATTCATAATTCACAAAGGTTTTGGAAAAACAAAAACAATTATTGTTCAGAAAGTGACATGATATGCTTGTTAAAATTGCATTTCTGTTACGATGCAGTGGAAATATTGATCTCTTTTGTTTGTGTTGGGTAGATATAACTTGTGGATGAAATTACAAAGTGGTGTGTGTGTGTGTGTGTATATATATATATATATATATATATATATATAGCACCAAGCATAAATGAGTACAAAAGATCTTAGAAAAATCATCTGTCTTTCGAATTAATGCTTTCTATGCTATACTGTGTCATACAATATTCCAGCAAATCTGGTTTATTGCCTGCAAATGAAATTTTTCCCTACAAAAAAACAAAACTGGGATTTATTACAAAATGATTTAAGACCATGGTGCAAAAATGAGTACACCCCAGTGAAGGTCTTAGGAATGAAACTCAATAAAATGCTAATTAAGAGGAACTCTGCAATAGATGAGTCCACTCAGTCATCACACAGGTGGCCACTAGATAATTAATGGTGGTATTTAACAAATAAAATCCCCTCCCATTCAATGCTGACAGTAGTGGCACCACATGGAAGATAAATGTCACAGGACTTGAGAACGAAAGTAATTTCTTTACACAAAAAAGTCTACAAGAAAATTAGTAAAGGACTGCAAATCAGTCAAACTACAGTAGCAAAAGTGATTCAGAAATTCAAAATGGACAGAATTGTGACAAGCCCCCTGAGAAATCCAGGCCCTCTATGGAAGCTTCACCTCGACATGAGCGTTCTGTAATGTGAAGGGTTGAGGAAAATCACTATGCAAGTTTGCGACAGCTAAAGCAATACAAAGCCAAACTGGGGTGATTGTTTCCCATGACATAATATAACATACACTGCAGAGGAGTGATGTGCAAGGGTGCTGCCTGTGAGGGAAGCCACTGCTTAAGCAAATGCACACAAAAGCCGGTTTGGCATTTGCCCAGGCCCTGGTGACGAAGGTGAAGACTATTGGGACTCACCACTTTGGAGTGATGAGACAAAGGTACATGTTTTTGGAACGGATGGCGTCCAAACTGTATGACATCACAAGGATGAGGAGTATCATGAAAAATGCATGGTACTCACAGTAAAGCATGGTGGCAGTGTTCTTCTGTGGGGGGGTGTGAGTGCTGGAGGTGTTGGGGAATTGCATTTCACTGATGGCATCATGAATTCACAGATATGCTATGAAATGCTGAAGGAGAAGATGGTACCATCTCTCCGTGCCCTGGGTCGCAACATGACAGTGACCCAAAACATACATCCAAAGCCACTGGTGCATTTTTGAGGAAGAACAGGGTGAAAGTGATTCAGTGGTCAGACATATCAGCTGACCTCAACCCAAATGGCACCTGTGGGGAGTTCTGGAAGGACAGGCTGAGCATCACTCCCCATACAGCATCCAGGTTCTGGAAGGACAGGCTGAGCATCATTCCCTATCCAGCATCCAGGTTCTGGAAGGACAGGCTGAGCATCATTCCCTATCCAGCATCCAGGTTCTGGAAGGACAGGCTGAGCATCATTCCCCATCCAGCATCCAGGTTCTGGAAGGACAGGCTGAGCATCATTCCCCATCCAGCATCCAAGTTCTGGAAGGACAGGCTGAGCATCATTCCCCATACAGCATCCAGGTTCTGGAAGAGCTCATTCTCCAATAATGGAGAAAGATGTGCCAGTATGTTGCCAGCTTGTTCATTCCATGTCTAGAAGAGTTGGTGCTGTTCTTTCAACTAATGGAGGCCATACAAAATACTAGATTTGGTAGAATTTGTTGCAGGGTGTATTCATTTCTGCAATGCTTCCTTTGAATAGTTTATTATTTTCCTATCCTAATGATGCTGGTGATCAAGTTTTTATGTTGTTAATGAAACAAATGTTGAATAAAACTCAGTTTTGTCAACAATCTGCTAAATGTTCTGGAGTTCACTGAGAAATGGATTTTTAAAAGGGGTGTACTGATTAATGCTGGGCACTATATATAGTGTGTGTTGTGTGTGTGTGTGTGTATATATATATATATATATATATATATATACACACACACACACACACACACATTCAATTTCAATGGGCCTACCCATTACATCATATTTAATCAGTGCCCCAATGATTAAAAACTGAGGTTGTTGGTCACTATGAGTTAAAATTATTAGATGGGTTTCTTTAATTCTTTAATTTGTCATTTAATGACAGTACTCTGGTTTTCTTTTTTAATGCCGGGTCACTTTAATCCATTAACAGGACTGGCCTTTGGGGTCCCCCACGGTAAATTTTGTCGAATGAGGGTGGACTTCCTGTGATAACTTTTGCTGGAATGTCAGTTTCGCTTGGCCAGTCCAGCTCTGCCTGCTACTGTGGTGAAAGCGGAGGAGAACATTTGTTCTGCTAATAAAAGTATTCAAATTGAGAGCAGTTACACTGTTACATGTACAGTGTCATGCATTATTACTCTTAAGGAGCATCAGCAGTAATTGTATTATTACAAATAATCACAAGTAAGTTTCATCCAGTGGGTTGAGATTACCCAGCAGTGTTCGTCTATCCTACCACTCTACGTGATTGCTAAAGAGTCAAAAAGAAATGAATTTTCTGTTCATTAGTATTATCCATTATCATGAGCAATGCCACTGTTATTGGATATGCAGCCTACATATGTGATCAACAGATTACAATGACCATACGTAACCGGCAAGTATGCAGGCAGTAGATCGTCACATTACATTAAGCCTGCCACTCCTGCGTTCATTTGTAGACACATATCAATTATCAGCCATTTATAGACAGACACTAAATCTGGCAACGTTTTGGATATGTCATAGATTTAAAGCCCTGGATTCACTGGTGGGCGGAACTTCGCAGGCGCCACCCTGCTCAAATTCACGCTGCGTGGGGAGGGAGTGTAACTACGCAACACTGTAACATGAAAGAACAGGTGAAATACAGTGCGCGTACACCCTAAATTTGCTTCTGCCGGTGATGGTCAGCAATATCCAACATACCTCTCTGCTTTGTTCTGGTTAATAACTGCGTTTAGTATAAAATAAACTAAAATACTATATGCTACATAGATAAAAAATAATAATTTATACTGAATTGTAAAAATCAAAGGAATGCAAGCAAGCCAACCTTTAAAAAGCAAATCTCGTTTGTACAGCAGTCAGCACTTTCACTTCATTCGAACACTTGCAAAAACAAAACTGCATCCTTTCCGTTCAAATTTTTTCACAAAATATTCTTTCTTCTTTCAACGGCAACTTAAACACAAACGTATGGTGTCTCCTGGGAAAACAATGTGCAGAAATAATTAAAATTACAATAAGACGTAGTGAATTATTATAATTCGGTCAATATTACATTTTTGTGACATCTCTAGTTTCCAGAGCACTGTGGAAGCGGAAACTGAAGAACATGCGACTATTACCAATATTTATAAACATACTGTACATTTTTTTTTAAACTTCTCACAAGAAAACCATTTTCCCATATTTGTTTAAATACACATGGCACTCTGTGAGTAAATTAACGGACTATTAAAAACAAACAAAAAAAACAGTCCGGTCACAACAGCAAAATGCAGTACTGTAATGTGTCCAGGCAATGTCCTTTCATCCTGCGGCACAGACATGGCTGGGCATCTGCTATGTTGGTTATACTTCCTGTAAAAGGGAAAAACGTCTGGTGCATGTGTGTGATTGCCAGTGTTTTTTTGTTCCATGCAACTCCACGTTTCTTATGAGTGGCACCGACTGGATGGTCACGTCACGTCTGTCCCCCGCACCGCAGTCTCCGGCGTGCCAGTCTATCCGTTTTCCTTCCACAGTACCAAATGAATGCTATGATCCGGCATGCTTGTAGCAAACACCAGGCCCGAATCGTTCTTCCCGTCAAGACCATTCAGCCAGGAGGTAACACCAGGAAGGAAGCTGGAGCCGCGCTTTGACTTCCTGTATGCAGGGAGAGGCCAGCGACCTATGATGCCCTCTGTCCTCAGGTCCATGACGTACAAGTAGTGGTTGTCAAACAGAAGGGCGAAAACTTCCCCTAAGCTGAGCAAAGACAAGTTTGCACAGTCCTGTGTTTTGATGACCCTGAAAGAGAAACAGTGGTTTGTTTAGGTGCATGTGGGGAATACAGGAGTACACTGACCACAGCTGAACACAGCCCACATGTAACCCAAATTTAAATTTTTGAACAAACCATGTTCTGAGTTTCTCGTCTCAGTCCCCCCCCCCAGACAGCCCACATTTTTGCTCCCTCCCAGTTGTATCCAGTAACCCAGTGGGAAGCAATGGGTAATGGGTTATACCACTCAGTGAAGACAGCATGATGGAAAGGAAATTACACTTTTCCTAGTTCAAGTTCAAACGACACCAGTGTAGTGACAACAAGGAGGGGGATTTCAATTCTGGACCGGTGACTCTTTCCTTTGAAAGGTGATTGTGAATACACAGTGCTGCAGTCATTAACAAAACACAGTCACAGGCACAAGGGCAGGGCAGGGCAGGGCAGAGAACAAATAAGGGATTAGGACATGTGAACCAGCATATCCTAGCACACAGACAGATACACCATAAGGATGAATAACACCTGGAGTGCACACCTACACACTGCAGTCACCTAGGGAGCTTGGCAAGGGCAGCAGAATTCTTACCATTCCGTAACATGCAACCACTGCCATTTGTAAATGCTCTCCTGTGCAATTGTTCTCACACATTTGTTTATAAACAGTGCATATTATGTACTAATGTCCGCGAGAGACAAAGCACAGCTATTATTGTCATTGACTTTTATTTTATTTCAGTTTGTTTCGGAAGCAATATACCAATGTTTGTGTAGTTGTAGTTTCATTTTAATATTTTATTTCAGTTTATGATGTTTTCTTAGTTTTATTTAATTTAATTTTTTTTTAAATGATAAGTCTGCCCTGTGCAATCAGTACACGAGCTGCCACTCACTGCATCCTCTAAAACACAGAGACAGACAGAGCGTCCTGCTGTAAAGGTCCCAATATTTCTAATTTGTTTGGGTTGTTCAGAACCACGGAGCATTAAAGCTGTTCCAGCTACTAAAGCTGCAGCCTAAGTTAATGGGTTGTTTCATTTAAAACTTAGTGCTGCAGCCCTTCCTACTGGATTCACATTGAGGACTTTAGATAACAGGGCAGCGATTCACAATCAATTCAAGGCTGTGTCCCTGTGCAATGTACGCGTCAGCTTTCATGGGGATGTATACATTTGTTTCCATAGTTCATAAATAAATGTCTCATTACAGATCAGTAGAGATACACATTCCAAATTATTCTTTTATTAACCAATTGCTTCCTGCTAAATGCTACTTATCCGGAACATAGCACTTTAAATTTATCAGCCCCTTAATTACAGACTTAAAAGGAAACTGGTATTAGAGGTACCTTAATGGAGATCCTTCATACCGTATGCATGTACACCCTTGTGCAAATTAAATGCTGTCACACAGACATGCATGCAATGGCCAGGGACCTGCTGGTTTGCACAGCCACCAGGGCAGAGTGTACGATGTGTGGATGGACAGAGGAGGCACTGTGCCCACAGACTGGCAGGCCTGCTTGGGTGGGGTTAGAGCTGGGTGGTATGACTGAGTGGATGGACAGAGGAGGCACTGAGCCCACAGACTGACAGGCCTGCTCGGTTGGGGTTAGAGCTGGGTGGTATGACCACCCATACCAAAATATTAATATGAAGTTGGTCGGCCTAGTGTTGCTGTAACAGCCTCTACTTTTCTGCTAAGGCTTCACATTAGACGTCGGCACACATTGCTGGTGGGGTTTGCAGCCATTCAGGTGGGCTATTGAGGTTGGGTCATGAGGTCCCTTTCTGTGAACTTGAGTGCCTGCCACTTTGCAGCTGAACTTGCTCCCAGATGTTTTGTTCTTCATAATCACTTCACTTATGTTAACCAGGGAAGCTCAATCAGAGTAGAAATGTGGCAAATTGACTTGTTGGAAAGATGGAATCCAATGATAGTGCCCAATGGAAAGACACTAACCACTCCTGTACAGCCAAGCACCATGCTGTTAATATTCATCATGGGAGATTGCATGACTGCGTGCTTAAATATACACCAGGGTCAGCAATGTGTGACTTATTAAGAATGATGCCCAAATAGCATATTTTTCTTTTTTACAAATGGCCCCCAACCATGGTCCTACAGTTGACCAGGAAGTTGCTTCTCAAAACAGGTACAACAGTGCCAAAACACAGTATGGTGTGATTCCAAGACATTTGCTGTGGAGGGCACATGAATATTAAAATGAACTCCTTGGATGCTGCTCACACACACACACACACACACACACACACACACACACACACACACACACACACACACACACACACACACACACTCTAATAGTTGTGTTTTCACCCTCATGATGCTTTTAGAGAAATCCTTTCTGGATGCCAAACCCATGAGACACATGACACACAGCATTTTGCGTGTTGAGGTGTCAGGTGAGTATATACCTGAGAATTTCATAGCTGGCAAAGTCCCACTGGTACAGGCCCAGGTCGGAGCTGCACACGATGTGTTTACCATCGAATTGGAGCCGAGGCTGTAAGCACACGCTCCGGTCCTCTGAGACACACAGGGTCTTCAAGCACTTGCAGTTGATCTCTCGGCCAATAGGCCAAACCTTCAGAAGAGCACAAATATTGCTTAACCACCACTCTGCCCCAAAGTACAGACAATTCAAGAGTGACCTCTGTTGGAACTTCTGAAACATTACAACAGGCAAGTACTTAAATGTGAATTAGTCATATAAAGAACTGAGAATAAAGCAGAATCTAGAAATAACATGAAACTTTACCTTAATTTCGTATTTATCTGCACTTAATAAAATATAGTCACCAGGACTATGCATGAGCGACTCCACCTGGCTTTTTTGCAAGACAACCTAAAAAGTAAGAGAGAAATGAAACAGCATGGACACAGCAAAGGAACACAGTCGCAGTGTTTCAAACTGGAAATGGACTGGAAGGACTAGTGAACACTGAGCACAGAAAAAGAGCTGCCTGCCTTTGGCAGTTAGCATAAAATTGCGTTGCGGAAACAACTAAACAAAAGGGGAAAATAGGAAAACGAATATTAAGAAGTTGCTGAAACATTTTGAAAGATGCTGGCCAAGAGAACAACTGGAAAGCTCACTGATGTGAAAATCAAGTTATGAAAGTAAAGATAGACTTTTTATAAAGACTTGTAGAATTCAATACTAAGACTAAAGCCGTACCAAAATATCACAGTCCAAAGCCAGTATGGAGTACCAGGTGACTAATGATCATTTCCAGTCAGCACCCAGCAGAAGAGCGTACCTTGGTCACCCATTCAGTGTGGCCAGTAAGGGTGTTGAGACACGTCCCTGCTGATAAGGACCAGACCTTCACGGTGAAGTCTGCAGAGCCGCTGACCAGGGTATCCAGATCGTCGTTGTAGTCTATACTGAACACTGTGCAAACATCAGGAAGGAAACCACTTAGCACAAGCCAAAATAAAATTCACCACCCAAGGTTCATCAAGGCTATTTAGGAGCTCAATAGGTAAAGAATACACAACTTCTTGCGTAACTTATGTTGTTGCTTTTACTGTGCCTATATGAGGGATCCACTATATGTTACTGATGGTATTAACTGTCGGGCTGCCACGATTATTCGACATTCGATGATGTATAATCTGAAAATCGGTCAACATTGATATTTTAAATCGATGCATCTTTTTTTAAAATTATTTTAATATAATTATCTTTATGATTTCTAAAACGCTTCAATTTACTACAACAGATCTTTGCCTTTAATATCACTATGTAATTATGATCAATGTTTCCCCAACCATTATATTAGGGGGGTGCCCCACTCCCCAAACAGCCCCCCCCCCCCCCTCTTGAAGATCAAGTTCATTTTATTTAATTTTATTTTCTATATAGCGCTAGATCACAACAGAAGTCATTTAAGGTTACCTTTCCTATAGAACAGGTCTATACATTGTCCTTTTATTAAACAAACAGAGAGCGCGCGACGGAAAGTATGTCGCGTCAACCACCTGAAAAGCAGACATATATCTGCGTTTTTTAAACTGTAAACTGTGAGAGGGACTTCTCAACCATGAACAGGGTAATAAATGTTGCACAATGGGTTTTTCTGTTTTAAACTATCACTATTTTAAGCTATCAGTTATCACTTTTAAAGCCTACAGTTAATGTATTTGCAGGTCAAGACAAACATCCGCAACTTGCTATAACCGCTGTGTATTATGGGTCGAATCACCACTGCTGTCATTACAAGAAACATATGAACACCATGAATCCTGTCGGTGTCCGTCTAACCCCCCCCACCCCACACAAAGCTGTAAACCGAGGGGAAACACTGATGGTAGTAGTTCAAATTACCACAAACAAAAAGGTGGTTTTACACTGTGCAAAGTTTTGATGGTATACCACAGCGGTAGCACTATGCACAAGCACCCGAAGGGGAAAAGTACAGCTGTTATTCTGGATGATGGACCTCGAGAAAAGGCAAAAGACTTTTAAATATCTTTTGTCCGTCGAGCTGCAAAGTACATTCATTATTAAAGCCATATAGTTGTCTACCTGCTACCTTAGAATTTCCACTGAATAAATGTTTGTGGAAATGTCTAAGCTTATTCTTCTTGGATTGATGGTGCCAGTGTGCGTGTGTTCGTGCCTGTTGGGCTTTTTGGGACTAGTGTTGTTAATGGTGTCGTAAGGTAAAACTGAAACAAAAGGACACTAAATAAAGAAAATTCGTGACCGAAAATAAAAATAAAAATACAAAGAAAAAAATGTGACTTTAATCTGTAAAAAGTATCGCCATGCGGTAGTAGATGGTGATCTTTCATCTTGTTCAATCACAGTATCTCCTCTTTTAAAAGTTATCGCTGCTGAGGTGTGTTTCTTCATCGCCACTTGTACAATGACAATAAAGCATCTTTATCTTACTTCAGTGCTTATCGCTTCCATGATTTACCAAGACAGTAGTATATGGTGTGCTCCACTAACAAAATTTAATAAGCATAAGGATTCGCCAAATGTATACAGATTGCAAACTTCTGGCTGTCATAATACGCACCTCATTACTATTTTAGGCAGACAACCTGATTTTGGCCAAAAATAATGTCTGTATAGTGCTGAAAAACCGGCATCCATTATCTAAAGCAATGCAATGACATACAATTTGTTGTTGTAAAAAATAAAATTAAATTAAACAGACAAGTTGATTTTCTGGAGGAAAATTAACCGTTTAGATTAATCGACCAATCGGTATAATACTCAACCGATTAATCCATAGAAAAAAAAAAGTCATTACTGGCAGCCCTAATTGACTTCCTGCAGTGATGACAATAGAATATTTTTTGCAGTAACCTTGTTATTGGCCTTCCTGCTGTGCACTTACATGTATGCGCGTGCATGTGATTTCGGAAGCCGTGGTGCACATCGGAAAATAGGGCTCCCCGAAAGCCATTATATAATTCAAACCCTGATTGTGCTACTGATACATCTCTCTCTTAGACTAAAGCAATGGGACAAACATAAATCACATACACTAAACTATTCAAAATTCCAGATTTTAAATTAATCCACTGTAATGACAGAATAATTAAAATGCGTTTGTGGGGGGCTCGAAATGGATGCTCCCTCACTTATACACCTGATCAAAAAGACAAATCAGGAACAACCGAGCACAACAAAATGACTGACTCAACCAGAATTAGAGACTAAGGATATCAGCTAGGGTGGCATCCAAAACCCAAAAGCAAGATAACAGAAAACCGTTTGGTAGATTATGTTAATTGTCATCATGAAAAAATTAAAGTAAAAAAGCCCTTCTTACATGACAAATGGTACTTTAGAAGAATCCTAATAACTACTTTATTGTTAGCACTGACTCAAGCAGACAGTCAAATACTTAATATAGTGCATCACTTAAAGGCTAATGGTGTCATTGCGTAAAACAAAGCAATAGTTCAGCTGGGTCAAAAAACATTTAAGATCATTTCAGATTAACAAGCATTCTCCCTTCACCATACTTATGTTTTTACACGGACCGAGTTTGCCGAGTAATTAACACTGAACCGGTGCCAAGGCTCACGTCTTGACACCAATTCACACTTTGACTTTGTACAATATGGATACAATAACATTTATAGTAAGACTTTCCTACAGAAAAAAGGCAGCACTTTAAAAAGCATAGATTTCACATTAATGATGGGCTTGCTATCTCTTGTCCACAAACTCCATTCCCAAAATCTGGTATTTCTGAACATTCCTGTCCTCAAATTATACTCTATCTTGTTAAAAGTGTGAAAAGTCATTTATAATTTATAGGGCTGCAACAACTAATTGATTATATCGATTAAAATAGACTATTAAAATAGTTGGCAACTGGTTTAATAATTGATTAGTTGGGTCTACGTTATTATACACATAAGTACAGTGGCTACTCCCTAATTTGGGAGCAGTAAGCTAACCAAAACCGTGGTTGCAGTAAAGCACCATTAAGCTGTATGCCGACCAATATAAAAGAAAAGGGAGACGCAAATCCTTCATTCAGTGGTGTAGCGGAGGGTAAATGCACATAAACGCCATTTACGCACCTTTTAAATTTACAAAACAGCATTTACTCACCTTTTTTTGAGATCACTAATGTTAAGGATATAGTTACCCACCGTTTTTACTGCTGTACATATAGTTTACCCACCTTAAATTTCTTGTTACCACTACGCCACTGCTTCATTTCTTCATGATAGAAATTTATAGTAATATCAAATGTTGTAGTACTCAAGATCAGTTTTTGAAAGTCTTGATCTTGTCTTTCAATCAGCCGTATTTATACTCGTTCTTGTCATGGACTTGGGATTTTATTGAGACCAGCCAAGACCACAACTCTGAGAATATTCCTATTAATGAGCTGTTTACTGTCGGATTGGATAACTTCTCACTTCATGTGCAACTAATGATGTTACTGCCGACCACGTTACCCGCCCCACCCCTTCACACACACACACATATGTGCACATGAACACAGGTGAAGTCGTGGTTGTCTGGGAAAGATGTCAACACAATCGGCTATTATCAAATGTGGCTACATATACCACAAAGTGTTTACCCTACCATTCTATTAGGGGGGCACCCCAAGTTAATTTTATTTTCTATATAGCGCCAGATCAGAACAAAAGTAATTTAAGGTTACCTTTCCAATAGAACAGGTCTATACCTTGTCCTTTTATTAAACAAACTAAATAGCCTTATGTTATTTATCTTATTTACAGTTCATCACTGTAGTATGCGCACACAACCGGATACATTTTAAAACGAAATATGCCACCTGTTGTTCACAGGTTTTTCCTCACCAATTGTCTTATTTGTGCCGTTCAGCCACTAAAGTGTATGGCGTTTCATTTTTAGCGTAAAATGCAGAAAAGGCCTTTTCTCCGCAATAAATGTTTACTTTGTTTGTCCGTAATAAATGGAGATACACTCACTCGCATGCTCTCTCCCCCCGTTACGTATGTGTATCAACATTAAATAACATTAGAGAATTATTTAATAATATTCTTAGTAGCAGCAGCGATAGTCTGTGCTTTTACATTAAAAAACTGGAGTACTGAATACATTATCTAAAGCACCATGATTTGGACTAAATTAGAAAGTTTCCAAAAACCTTGCTGAGCTGCATGTTTAGGTTCAAGTGCTGCATTTATTTATTTTTATTTTACTTGGGGGGAAAAAAATAAACAATTAATGTTCATCTCATTTAAAATATTTCAATTATTATATTATGTACATTTACTAATCTTCAGTCCCTGCCCTGGTTTTGGTCTCGGCCCTTCAGAGTCTTGGTCTTGTCTCAGTCTCGACACACTCTGGTCTCAGTCAGGACTTGGTCTCGGTTTATGTGTTCTTGACTACAACTCTAGTAATATCTGGACATTTATATCAGATAGTATATTAACTGCACTTCCCTTTCATTCTCAGCACTTGGCAGCATGACACAATGTCCATTTATTTCATTTCATTGTGCTTTGTTAGATCAGCAGTCATTAACTAAGATTATGTATGTTTTATTTACTGTGCTTCTGTGCATACTCACTACGCTGTCTCTCACATTAGAGAAATAATAATAATCGATTAATCGAAAATAAATAAAAATTAATAACCCACAGATTAATTGATTATCAAAATAATCGTTAGTTGCAGCCCTAATAATTTATTTTGAGGTTTTCTTTCAGTATTCTCAACACACTGGTGAGATAAATATCAGCGTTCTTTGAGTTATCATGCAAAGTTCATAACTTTTTCCTCAACAAATTTAATGAATTCTTCACCATAAAAAATGTTTATGTAATATGGGGCTGTTTTCAACCATAAGACAGATATGTAAAAATATATGTATTTGACGATGTATTCTGTGCCTTACAATAGACCAGTGTTTCCTAATCCAGTCCTCAGGGACCCACAGCCAGTCCACGTTTTTACCCCATCCCAGGTCGCTGCCAGATGATCCATGGTTTGCTCCCTCATAGCTCCCTGAGCAAAACTGTGGAGTGTCTGGCAGAGAGCTAGGAGGGAGCAAAAACGTGGACCGTCTGTGGATCCTCAAGGACTGGGGTTGGGAAAGACTGCAATAGACTATTGACATTTCACCAAAATATAAGCAGGGTGAATATTTGGGGAAAACAGTCAAATATCACACTTACCAGCACCAGTATGACCACGGAAATGCTGGATCTTAGCCCCTGAGCTCCACTCCCAGCAGGCAATGGTGTTGTCAAAGGACCCTGTCACCAGCTTCTGCTCGTCGAACTTCACCACGGCGCATGTGTGTGTCTGGATGCCATAGATGCATTGCCCGGTGCAAACGTCCCAAAGCTTTGCAGAGAGGTCGTCAGAGCCTGCTCCACAACAAAAATGGTGTTACAGTTTAACTATACACTCACAACAATTTTTGCAGCCTTTTCAGACAGAACTGGAAGAATCTACAAAATCTTGTTCTATGCTATCTTCAGCAGGTGTTCCACTTGCCAAACCATATAATAAAGATTTAGCCAGATCTTTTTGGAAAACCACAAAATAAAAAACCAAATTTCCAAAAAGAAGTCCCATGCAGGTAATATAAGTGTCAAGGACAATACAAATATCTGCTATCACCAAGCATCCACTGTACTTAATTGTTTGTTTTGTAGTCCTGTTTTTTTTAAATATGTCCATCAGGTTTAAGTATACTGAGCGACAAAAAAACAAATTCCTTGTATGTGTAAACATACTTGGCCAATAAAGCTTATTCTGATTTAATTATTTTCAGTTTTTTTATTACTATTTAGTAACTGGTCAATAATCAGACCAATCAAAAATGAACTGGAACATACGTACAAAGTATCCTTGAACACAGAATTACCAATATTGCTGTTGCTTTGGATTCAAAAATAATGTTCCTGTATTGTGATATTTTAATTATTACTTTTTTTGGTTCATAATCCAAAAAGCCGGTCTGACCTGTAAATGTAACAGTATGATAAACATCTCAGATTAAGTGCTACATATTATATGAACCAAAACAGACTAAATTATACTAATTTATTTTACTTTTAATGTATTTACAAATTACAGAGCTTTAGGCTGAAACTGGGCTGGTCTGACCTGTCACAAGAGCAGTACACAGATTCTGGCCCTTCCCTATGTTTTACTGTGCCACATTAGTAGTCATTCACTGAGGGTGACAAACTCAATGTTAATTGCAGAATTTGTCCTTGAAGCTAGCAGATCAGTGTGACCAAAGGAAGGTGGCAGAGCAAAAGGAATCTGAACAGGGAGGGGGGCATGTTCTCTAAATGCTGCTGACTAGGCAGGATTCTGCTGAAGAAATGGATGCAAAACACAGTTGACATAAAACTAGTGGGGAGGGAGTAAAAAAGGGCACTGATTTTAGCTAGTTCCTCTTTGATGGTAGACTGATAGACCTGACCTGTGCAAAGGAGGCCGTCCTTGTAGTACAGGGCATAGACACGTGCACTGTGACCAATCAGGGATGATGTCTCGAATGCCTCTTGGTCTCGCAGCTGCTTCACCCTCAGCTTGGCCCTCAGGTAGACCCTCTTCCAGTAGGTGGCATCCTGGATGGAGTCGTCGATCTGCCAGCCCAACTCGCGGCACGCGCCCTGCCACACCTCGGTGCAGGCACTGATCACCTTGTTCCACTGCTTGCACACCAGGCAGCAGGTGAGCAGGGTCTTGGGGTCCAGCCAGTGTAACAGGTAGAAGGTAAGCTCCAGCGGTAGCAGCCGGAGGAAGTCACGCTTCAGCAGAGTCTCCAGGCTGTTGGACAGGTGCCGTAGCTGTGCTGCCCCACTCAGGCTGATCAGGTGGTCCAACGATTGGTTCTTCTGCTGGTCCGTCAATGTGAGAAAGGAGGCGGAGACCGTCTCCAGCCACCCCTCAAAGGCCTTCTTCTCCATGAGCTCATGGGAATGTTTAGCTATAGAAAACAGGAATATACCACTAAGATGTGCACAACCTCATACTGTGCAATGTAAAAATCAGTTCCTTTTATAGCTGCTATATACAATAAAGGAACCATTTTGGAATACTGTAACAGATATTTTTCATACAAAGTACAAATCACCTTAATATTTAGCATCATATATATGCAAGACTAAGAGCAGTTCGAACATGAAATTACAATAATTAGAATGAGCAATTCCTTACGATCCCATTTTCTCAAAGGATTCATCAGAAAGAACAGCAGCAAAAACTCGAAACAAATCAATCTCCTACTATCACAAAAAAAAAACTACTATCAGGATTATCACTATGAAAAACTATTATTTGATTCCTGGATTTGTCTATTATAGGGGACGAGATGAAAGACAGCATACGGGCGCCTCCATAAACAGACCTCCTCGGAGATGGAGATGTCTGAGGTTGACTCACCACGGTCAATGAGATATTAACTGCCCGCTCATGGAAATGGGACTTGAACGCGGAAGCATACATTTAACGGCGAGGCGAGGAAGCAACTTGAAATTTTCCAGCAGGGGAGGTGGAGGCGTGGGGTTAGGGCTGCTCTGCCCAGGCGGCGAGTGCATACTGACAGCCGGCGTGCCAACTATCTGGTTAGTCATCCGGCTGCCGTGTCATCTTAGTGACCTGTATTAACTCAACTCACCTACCCAAAACCGTAATCTATGGATACAATGCAGTATCGCGCTTATATATGACACATAACTGAGACGCTATGCAAATCAAATAGTTTAAACAGCGCAAAGACTGTGAGACCGGCTACAAAGTGATCCTGACAGGTTAGGGTGTCAGAGGGAAGGTAGCTACTAGCTGCGCCTAGTTCGTGACAGGTAAACCGCTAGCTAGCAGACACTAGTATTAAACCGGGCAGCGCTGCCTCCTCCCGGGTTACGCAAATATAACCACAGCCGTGCTGGTTTACACCTGTCTGGCGACGGGATAAGCAACCAACCAGTTAAAAACCGTCTTACCATTTCCCGTGGAACCCGTGTCGACGACAGTGGACAACTTCCAGACATAGATCTGAACCGCGGGAAGGTTACAGGAGCAAGACGGCTAACCAGACTCAACCCCCGCCATAAATACGAGCCGTGAAAGTATCATGGCTGGGCGTTTCTAGGCAAAATACACACAGAATTATATATTAAGCTTGCTGAGCAAATTATCTCCAAAAGTAGCCAACCTAATCTAGCTGTCAGGTAACCGGTCCTGCTAACACTTGTTAAAATGCATAACCGTTAAACGCACGGAAAAAACGCACTGGGCGACAACACAAACCAGAATGCACAGCTAGCTTTCTGTCGGCGGGTCCCAAAATTCCACACCTTGCATTATTCTTATTGATAATATTATTATTGAAAACCATCTGTCAGCCTGGCTAGCAAGTCGGACGGCTGTCCGAGTGACCCAAAGACAGAAGAGTCGCGCGCGGCTAACAGAAGCGGGACTCGCGAGGACCAGTGGGCGACGCTAAAGTATGCTAGGCTAGGCTAGGCTAATCTAGGCCGCTTTTGTTTGTTAACACTAGGGTTAACCCGCCTTTCCGCAAAAAAAGTACAGGCAGCTAGGCGAACAAATAATATAAAGTCTATTTAAAGGCTGCGCGTACGGCCGGCTTCGTCGCTTGTGTTTTGCTCTTTTACTTCGCTTGTGTTTAAAGCTACGGAATGGCCCTGCTGCCCGGCGAGCCAACTTCAGGCCTGTCTCTAATGCCTGCGGAGACAGGAAGTCATCCGGAGGAAGAGGCTGGAGTTGGACGGCGGCAGGGAGGAGCAGGGAATTCGTGTGTCCGCCATCGTGACGAGATGGTCGTCTTGTTGGCACGCCGTAATGACTCGGTAGGATCCTGTTCCGGTTAAAAGTCTCGGGCCAGGAACTGGATGGATCCGGCGAGTCGTCGCCTAAAACTGCCGACGTCCGACCGATTCCGGCGGCTGACAGCTGTGAAGTGTCTGGAGTGTCTACGATCGCGGATGCCGGTGCGCAGGCGAACGCGAGCTGGCGGGGACGGGGGGGGCTTCGACTTCTTGGCATGATGATGAAAAATGCGAATAATCTGTCGGTCATAAGTAGGCTATACAAACCTCTTGGTGAGAGAAGGTTGCAATCAAATGACAGTGGGAGTTTGACGGGTCATGCGAGGGAGACAGGCACCGTCCACAGGGGTTTTTCAGAGTCTTGGGGCGGGGGGGGGGGGGGGGGAGTTCACTGATTTCGAAATTGAGTTGTTTCTGAAATCACTACATTTCTGATTAATTTCTAACATTAATCATATTTGTTAATCGGGTGGTACCACGTTGTGTACACAAGAACACTTGTCTACCAGAACACTTGTTTAATAGGATAACGTATATTTCCAACAACGGGAAATATGATTACAGTTAAAAATCTAGTAGATTGTACCCCACCCAGCAGATGTCGTCACAATTGAAATACACAGTCTTCTCCTGTAGCAATGGTGTTGGACTACTGGTCGATGATCCAAGTCTTCCTTGTTATTGAGTTACCAGCTTTTGGAGGTATTAACTGTGGTTACAAATATAGAGTGTCCAAAGAAGTTACAAATACAGTGTCCATAGAACCTATTCCCTGACCGGGAATCGAACACGGGCCGCGGCGGTGAGACCGCCGAATCCTAACCACTAGACCACCAGGGAATAGATTAGAATCACATTCTTCAGTATATCTAATACTATTGCACTTATTCTTTAATAATTCTATTGCACTCTGGTCTTTGCAGGGGTGTTATTAATTAAGTCCCTGGTGGTCTAGTGGTTAGGATTCGGCGCTCTCACCGCCGCGGCCCGGGTTCGATTCCCGGTCAGGGAACACTTCTTTTTGCTGTTGTACATTTAAAATATGTTGACGTTTTAGTTTAAAAGGTGTAAGTATTCTATCTCATCTGTGATGATGTGAAGTTCTAACACTAACTTCACTTTACTACTGTTTGAATTAAACTATAACATCTTATTGTTAGTTCGGTGGTGGTTTACTGGTTAAGATTCAGTACTCTCCCCAACGTGGCCCTAGTTTGATTCACGCTCAAGGATGTAATCATTTTTGAATTACAAAAAATGGAACAAACGTGTATTGCATCATTTACACTCATCCAGTACATTTTGTAAGATGGATTTTATGTTAAAAGAGGTTCCCAAATTGTCAAAAATAAAATGTTTTAATGATGCAAAACACATCTGAACATTTTACGTGGTTAACTCCAAGTCGAAGAGGTAGTTCCACACTAATACAGCCAAAACACAGTTGCAGTTGATTATCCCTTTACATGTCAATCCGGCTCGAATGCTTTAACACAGTACAAAGACAAATTCATTAAAAATACACAATTTGCTTATGGTAATATAAAAAGTAATGCTTTTTTACCCTTAAATATAGTTCAATTTTACTTGTGACAAAAATAGCATAATTCAGTGACAATATTAGTCAGCTGCTCTTTTGAATAAACATAAAACAATTATAATTTTACTGTAATGTGACACTGCAATACTGATCCCCAAAGAAAAAAAAAAAAGAACTGTAAAAAGGTTTCTCAACTAACGTAAAACATTTTCACATCTAGAAATTCCATGGCATTCCCACAAAACAATGGTAATATTATGTACTATGTGAGATGCACAACACTACTTAAATAAAATTAGAAAAAAAGTCTTCCCACTATTAATTTTTGCTTCTCAATGCCTTGAGATCAGTCCAGTAGAGAATTATTCACTGTTTATATTCTGCTTGATAGTATCGCGCTGCATTTGTTTTTGTGGGTCTGGTTGAAGAAACGTGCTCTCAGCATCTGGTCTGGTAGCTAGACTCTCAGGTGGGTTAGACGTGAAGTCCAACAGTAGGACCAGGTTCAATATGGGTAGCGGGAGATGGAGATGTAGATGATGAACACACTCTGGTAGGTGATGTGGCCCTGCGCGGAAAATGTGGTGGCCTGCACACGCAGGCGGACCAGCCCGGGCGAGTCCAGCGGCTGCGCAGTGAATATGATGCCACGCCCGGCCTCGTCTCTGATCCCAAACTGTGGCCCTCCCACGGGAATGGCCTCATCCCCACCTTCGCCACCCCCTCCCTGCTCCAGGATGGTGAAAGTCGTGCGCTCCTGTAGCCTCCCACCCTCTGAGAAGGCGGAGAGGCGTATCACATTGTGATTGGCTGGGATCCCCAGGGGGAGGGTCAGCAGCTTGTACTGCAGCAGGAGTGGGGCACCCCCTGGGGAGCAGTCCAGTGAACAGGCTCGGTAACAAGTCCTGTACAAGAAGGAAGGAGACAGTCAGGTGATTGTGACACCCCCCTAACTGCAGGGTCACAACAGCAACATAACAGACAACACTGCAAGTTATGAACCATGTCATGGTGTGGTTAAAACAATATTCACAGCACTGAAGAAACTTCTTGCACTACCTACCCTGGGGCCCCTCTTGTCTGATACGAGGCGGGGCAGGGGGTGTCCAAACACTGGTACCCCCCTCGAGTGTTGAAGCACATCTGATTAGGGCCACACTGAATGCCCTGCATGGTGCATTCATCGATGTCTGTTAGGGACAAAGAGGGAGAGCTTCAGATGGGCACAGGGAGCACACCCTTGTCTCCACACTGCCTCCGCCAATGGACAATGCAAGATCTGCACCTTTGCAGCTCCTCCCATTGGGCAGCAGCTGATAGCCTAGGGGGCACAGGCACTGGAAACTGCCCAGGGTGTTCCGACACTCATGCTGACAAGGCTTCCACAGCTGGCATTCATCTACGTCTGCATAGGGGAAGGGGACACAAGAATGAGGACCAATGAGGACTCAGAGCAAGGTGGATCACAGGCCAATGAGTGCCCGGGGCAGGGTTGTTTATGGACCAATGAGAATGTGGAGGAAGGAGCTTCATGGACTGATGAGAACAGAGGGCAGAGAGGAGACAATTAATTTAGGCTTGATTAAATGCATTTTTCAGTCCAGTATGAAGTGCCTTTTTGCCCTGTATAAAGCTGTTACAGCACTAGAGGCTGAACCAAATGTATGAAATGTCCCATGACACACATTTCAAAGTCAGGCAATTTGCCAACAGCACACTCAATGCAGCAGGCTTGACAAGGATTGATGAATATGTCTGAAGGAGTTGGGCTGTCCCCAGGAGACCATGAATAAATGCGAAGGTAAGAGCATTCATTTGAATTTAAAATATGACAGCACATTATACATTTCTAGTTTGTAGCTTTGGGATTCCACGAGGCTGCACTGGGGACACCCTCTTCCTTTTTTCCGCAGATAACTCTCTGCTTATCCTTTTGTCCATGTTCAGTGTGATACATACAATCACACAAAACAGTTGACTGAGTACTTCTCCCGATTCAAACAGCTGAGTGACCGGATAAATGACTGAAAACATCTGTGATACTAACTAAAGAAAATAGTCTGCTTGAGCTATCATTTCTGTCCGATAATTTGATGGGGATAATTCTAATCATTTTATCCTTGTCATTTTCAATTGTTTTATCATAAATCAAATGCACGGTATCTGCTCTATGGAATATGGAGTACAGAATGGTGGGTAATTTCATAGAAACTTGTGATTCTGTCAAAAAACGAGTAAGGGTAGTGATACATTTGAACATATGTGTATATGTGGCAAGGCACCCACCCACACACGCCCCCTCCTTGCTGTGGTAGCCCAGCGGGCAGCCACGCCCAGTGACCAAGGTGCCTCCCTGATGCTCAGGCAAGATGGACAGACGTGTGAGGACGGGCTGACCCAGGCTGGACACCAGCTGGGGGCGCAGCCGTGCCAGGACCCGAGTGCCATTACTGGGGACACGCCCCCTTTCCAAGGTAGCGCAGGAACGCCCATCTGCCAGTAGGGCGGCGCCTGGCGGACACAGGCACCGGAAACTGCCTGGAAGGTTGCGGCACTGGTGGGCGCAAGGACTGGGAACCTGAAGGCATTCGTTGATGTCTGAGATGTGAAAACACAAGTCAATATACAAGTAAAATCGACAAAATCATCGATGACTGGTTTCCACAAAGGTGGCACGCCTAGGTGTGATCGATCGGCTGTGAACGATCTCTCACCCAGACACGGCTGGCCAAGCCCCTGGGACCGGTATCCTCGGGGACACAGGCAGCTGTACCCCCCCACTGTGTTCTGGCAAACCTGGCTGTAGCGACACATGTGGCTGCCATCCTGGCACTCATCAACATCTGCAGCACAAAGAGGGGATGAGAGATCACTAATGGTGCTCATGTGGCACACTGCTGAGGGATCCGCTGGCAGTGGCAGGTTGGGAAATGAGCAGCTCTGAAAGCCCACTCTCCGAGTGCCACACTGCTGTTGGTAAAACCTTTTATTCCAAGTGTAAAATCTGGAATATCCAAAGTAGACTCCTTACCGTGTGATGGCACTAAAATTCAGTTTGGCTTTGTTTTTTTCTACTAGTTTACTTTGACCATGGACATCTTAGGGTCTTGAGTCAGTCTTGCACAGTAAGGTTTATTGCATAGAGATACTCTTGCTGTAATTCCCAGGCTTCTCAACTCTAAATGACATAATGTATTCACTCTGTCTTCAATGTCTTTTTATTTTGAAAGACTGTTTCTTAATTCTCTGGATTCTCTCACTACTTTAACAAATACTTCAAAACAGATATTCTATATTGTAAAATGGTTTGTAGTAGAAGTCTTTTTTTTGTTAATTTTAGTATACATGATGATTTAACTGTGCAGCTTTGCTCAGAACGAGTGTCATCGTTTTTGTTCAATAAAACTGGTACTTCAAGTTTGCTTCTCTGACGGTTCCCACCTAAAGAGGCCACTACACAGTTACAAATGGCAGGGTGACGGCCTCTCACCCACACACGCCCCATCCTCGACTTGTACCATGCCGGCGGGGCAGCCGTCGAAGCACTGGTAGCTCCCGTCAGTGTTGCGGCACTGCTGGTGGGCTGGACACACATTGCGGGTGCACTCGTTGATGTCTGGCCATGTAGAGACACATGCGGAGATCACGGTTATCACTGGAGTCATGTCACTGGTTTAATGATGCAGGATTAAATTATCAGACATATAAACCCACTAAAAATAAAGGAATTTGCAGGATATGCAGAAATTAAACGGGAATAAATAATGTCTCACAATGAATGACCAAGATTCAAGATGATGAAAAGATTCAAAAAATAGATCTTAGTTCAGAACTGTAATCCCTTCATTGGTGAGAATGCACCTGTGGATACCGGAGGACCGGGTTGGGAATTAATGCTCTAGATGGTTAAAGATCAGAACATAGGTGCTTCTAGATCTCTATTTTTTGTCTAAGCCACCATGACAAAAATGTCTAAAACCTTGTTGCAGTTGGACCTATATACTCACTCCCAGCAAATGGGGGGGGGGGCTTCCCATGTTTCTTCAAGGGGAAGAGCCCCCTTGAAGGGTCAAACCTTAGCATTGCCCCTGGGTTAGAACACTGGACATGTTTGGTTTCTGTGATTAAGACTGAGCCTTTAATCAGCTCACTAGAGGGTTCGAAAGGTATCGCTGATAGTACCACAGCAAGTTAGTCTGTGGGGAAGAGTGAGCCCAGGATGCACCTGTTTGGATAAACCCATGGTGTGTTTCATTACTTCTTCTTTTCTTAGAGCAAGCTCAGTAAACTGCACACAGAATGAGTACAGAAATGACTGAACTGTTGTTGAGTTAAATGATTGCTAGTTGTGCATTAATGAAGTGCTCACTGGTTGAAATCTTAAATTGAATGAAGACTGTTTTCACAGTTTCATTAATTTTTCTTAGTCACATGACTTGGTATCAGTCTCATTTTTGTTAGGAAATCCTTCAATTCTATCTATATAGTGTAATTCTCCTGCTTCCTAACTTCATTTATGTCCTGCCACCCCTTCCTAAAACAGGTAGTAATACTGAGTAGGCTATATTTTATGTTTTCTTTTGTCTCCCAGCTCTTCCAGCAATTCCATTGTAATACTAACATAGCTACCCTGAGGTAATGCAAATCAAAATATGCTAACTTAGAACTAACGCAGCTATGCTAGCTTAACACCAACCCTGTGACACAAGGCTAATGCTAAAGCAGTGCGCTAACCCAGCGATGCTAACCTAAGCAGCGTGAACCAGAGAGTTGGTAGCCCACATGGCAGGCACATCGGAAGGAGCCCAAGGTGTTCAGGCACTTCTGCTGACAGGGGGAGATGGAAGACTCCTGGCATTCGTCCACATCTGTAACACGCAGTTCAGAGGTTAGCAACGCTGATTAAGTGCCTAAGCAGTTTTCATTTATTTGTCTTTCATGAAAAAAATTAACCAACATCTTTTGTGTGAGTATGTGTTTTCAGTTTGCACAGCCATCTTCACCTTTCCCAAAGATTTTAATTTAAATGTACAGTGGTACCTCAGTACTCAAAATTAATCCGTTCAGAACTCCGGATCGAATCCTAAAAAGTTCGAGTTCTGATCAAATTCTCCCCATAAGAAATAATGGAATTGGTTCCCGGCCCTAAAAAAATAACGCATTTAACCCTCTGGAGTCGGCTATCCCGCCGGTGGGATATGACAGAAGTTTTTGTCATATACACATTTTAAAAACACCCTCAGAAACCTTGGAGGTCTACTTTTCAAATATACATAGGTAGAAACTAAATATATTTTTACAGCTTCGTGATACGAATAGAAATAACAAGAGTGACTGACTTAAGCGTCTGCGTCTCGAAGCAGCTCTGAGCCTCTGATCGCCCACCCACTTGTAAATCGCGCTATTCGCATGATAATAACATGATAATCCGACAGATAGTATTGGGTAAAGAAATATGTGAATATGCCCATTGTGATCGAAATAAACAAGAGCACATGTCTGGGTAGTGTTTACACTGATCGGCTACAATATAGCACACGGATACGTCTCTGCTGCTGAAGCTTTGCGCCAGTGTTGCCACTTTCAGCAGCGAATCTCATACCTGTGTTCATGGCTCAGTGGACTAAGCCTGTATGCCTGTAATCATACGGTCGCCAGTTCAAACTCAGGCTATTTAGAACGTGAATAGCGATCTTCAGCTGATAGTGGTACTATACGCCCCCGATGCAGATAAAACAAAGAAAGATGATGTGGTTTGCTTTTTTGCCGATTTAACCTAATTTTAAAAACTTTAATACTTCCGACAATGGAAGTTTTGAAAATAAGATAGATTATGGATTTAGTCAGTGTTTTTTTTCATGATTCTACATAGCCTAATGATTTCAGCGAGATATAAACTGAAATACACGAGAAAGATATGCGGTCGACAATGCCCTCGTCCCCAGAGCATTAATAATAGTTAATTATTTTATTTTCGTCAACTCTGCATAGGCACTGCATCATATTTATATGGTCACAGTTTTTCATTTTTCATTCCATCTACCAATAAACTGTGAAAGGGATTTTATTGTTGCTACTTTTCTTGCGTTTCAAACTACCTTTCCAAAGTGATGGGTGTGGGGTGCAGTGACATTCCAGACTGATGGGCCATTGACAGTATGCAAACTACTACAGGTGTGAGGACACCTATTCCATCAATATTCATTGTGCAGGCCACTGACTTTGAGAAAAAGAGTGTCACTCCAAAGTTCTAACACTTTAGTAATCAAACCACATAAAATTTCAGAATGTCACTTTCACCTATGTGTAGCCAACCCCTGTGTCTATAAGCTTCAGAGCTCAAAAGTCTTGGCTAGAAATGTCTATAATGTGATTTTTTTACATTTTTTGCATGTCTGAAAATAGGTTTTTGAAAAGTATATGTTAAAAAAAACTTTTCTTCCGCGATTAAAAGCGATTAATCAAGATTAATTAATTACAAAGCCTCTAATTTAAACACAAAATGAACCAGACAAAACAAGAAAAGCATATACTGTACTAAACACATCTAAGCAAACTTATCAAAACAGTAATTTTTTAAAGAAAGAAAATAAATGTATCCAAACAATGTGTAAAGTTAAAAAAAATAAACAATGTGTCATGCCCCGATCGTCCGCTCCTTCCGTGTGTCACGCCCCCTCGTTAACCCCACGTGGAATCCCTGTGTGATCAACTGTTTCTGGTTGTTGTAATGAGTCCTCTGTATTTAGTCCGCGTTTCAGTTTGTTTCCCCAGTCCGGTCATTGTATTGTCTGTCTGCATTTTGCCTGTCTTACCTGTAATTAAACCCCGTATTCCCCGATACCCTGACATCTGCGCCTTTGTCTCCATTCCGTCCCAGCTGGGCACGACAATATTATTATAATTAAACGTATTAATTGTTTTTTTATTAATATTAAAATAATTAATACGGATTCTTTATTTTTAAATGTATTTTATTATATAATAATTACCTTTACTGTCTATCATTGTCTAAATGTATTTTTACTGCCTAAATATATGTATTCAGCTATAGTGTAAACATGCACGATGCTATCACAGCGAATGTGAGGCTGAGACTGAAGCGCTACCCTTTGTTTCCGCTGAGAGACATGCGTGACTCATTTCCCTGCGCGTACAAGTTATCTTAGGTCGGCGTTCACGGTTCGACTTCTGAGATTCAGATCGATTTCTCGGTAATTTTTTTTCCCGAACTGATTCGTTCAACTTTTAAGAAATTCAAGTTCTAATGAGTTCGAGAACTGAGTACCACTGTAATTTTTTCCCCATCTCTTATCTCTTAACATATTCAAGCACCAGAATTTAATAATTTTTAAAATGTCAAATGTGATCCACATGACTGGTCTTACGGTCCACCTGCCCTGAATGCCTGTCAGACCCATAAATCTGACTGAGGAGCAGCCCGCCAGCGTGGCTGCGAAATGGGCCCTTGCCTTCACAGCTGGTTCCGGCGACACTGGGCTTGAACCCGGGGCCGCACTGGGCTTGGCAGCGATAGCCCCCTTCGGTGTTCACACATTGCTGGTTGTACTGACACATGTGGGAGCCCTGGTCACACTCATCGATGTCTGTGGGGGTGACACCATACACAATGATGTCACACAAAGGCAGGGGCGTCAGAAGCATTTTGAATGTGGGGGGGACACACTGGTATAAAACTAATATTTTATGTTAAATATGGGGGGGGGGGGTCCAAACAAATAATTATGAAATGTAAGGGGGACACATCCCCCTCAGATTTAATGGCAGCGACGCCCATGCACACAGGGCACGGCCAGTGGGCACACATAACTGCTTATGTCACACACGTGACAACCACTTTCCTTTCAGGCTACTTGCAGACGCTCACTGGATAAACTAGATAACTTAGTTAACAGTTTAGTACAAACTGTCCTCATGTCAACACTAGAATTGACCACAAAGCGGTAATCATCCAGCATCTAATGCGATCTGGCTCACAGGAAACTCCAGACCGCACTCTCATGCTCTGTTACTCTTTCTGATGCATTTCTCTTTTGGACCAGTTAATTGGTTATTAGTTTTACGAATGCAATTATAATAACATACAGCATTACTGAAATAAGCATCTTCTGTATGGCAATAGACCTAACTCAGCGACCGGTCCGCCCAGGAGCAGCACAGCAGCTGAAACGAGGCGTGGCATGTTGTAGCCTGACGCTCTGCACCTCACCTTGACAGGTGTGGGACACGGGGGAGATGGTGAAACCCGAGGGACAGGCACATGAGAAGCCACCCATGAGGTTCTGGCAGGAGTGCTCACAGGGGGCCTGAGAGACACACTCGTCTTCATCTGGAAGCAAGATGAGCAGCTCGGTGACGTCATAGCACATCTGGACATTTTTACTTATTCAGCAAACGCATTTATTGCAAATGACATGCTTTTTATTGCCGCCCCTGGCATTTGGACCAGTGACCTCACAGGCACAGCCTCCATATCCAGTTAGCTGCACACTGCTGCCACGGCAAAATGAGCTGATAGCGTCGTAGAGTGACCTGCCCTGCCTTAAGCAGTAGCGCTAATGGATGTCTCTGTCACGACCTCAGCAAAGCCCAGAGGTTTGTGGAAAGTAGGTCATCAGTGGAGCAGAAATTGCAGCTAAAAAGATGTTTACTTGCAGCAGGGCCGCAGTAAGGGCATGAATACCCTGGCAGACTTAGGAGGCCCGTATATGACAAGGGCCCTTGAATACATGAAATTATACGCAAACTGTGCTAGTGCCCAAGGTGACATTTTGTCAGGGGGGCCAGAATTTCTAGCTATGCTCCTGCTGTGCACACTGAAAAACTTTTTATTAGAATATTGAAATAAACACCACCAACCTTGAATATGACAAGCAGTTACAGAAGATGGATGGAAGGATAGATAGATGGATGAAATAAACAACATATATTCATAAAACAAAGATATAATGTTAAGCCGTTATGTGGATTATCCCTTTGTCCTTCGCCATGCCCCTCCATAACATATTTAACATTATAAAGAATTGTGTAACACTTTACTTAAAGCACTCATCATAGTGCACTACAGATGCCTTCATAATGCATTATAATGGTCAGTATAAGCCATTATAATGGCTTATACGATGAAGGTATTTATAGTGCATTACATATTAGAGCTTCATAGAGAATTCATAATGCATAATAACAGTGGCTATAATGTGTTATGCGTTTTTATAACATAGTATAAAAAGTATATGTGTTTATAATACATCATGAATGCATTTTGATGGTATGTATAATGCATTACACACAAGTGCTTTAAGTAAAGTGTTACTAAGAACTGCATTGTATTTAAGTTATAAAAATAACATAATTCATACCAAAACCTTTTTTTATGTTTGGACACAGTTACTAAGGACTTGCATCAAGGTATGCTAATGTTAACTGTGAAAGCCGAACACTGACCCCTGAAGGGACTAACTATATACAAAGCATTACATCTGGGCTTACCTGCACAGAATGAGGCTGCATCCAGCACAAACCCTTTGGGGCAACTCTCTCCTTCGCCATCTGCACAGACACTTTTGAGTTAGGAGCGGGTTCAGCAGGATAAATACCCACACACACCTCCCGGTCTCGGGAAGCGGGTCGGCACTAACCCGGTAGGATCAGCGAGGCGGTGAGCTGGAAGTCCAGGCTGAGGCTTGTCCAACTGTAAGCCCCACTAATGGCGGACACTCTCAGCAGCTGCAGCAGTGGCCCCTGGCGCTCGGGGCCTTCCTCGTACACCATCGTGTGGTTGCAGCGCAGCGGAAACGGAGCGCCGCCTTGCAGGTGACTTTGGGAAGACCAGGCATACATCTGCCCGGGTCCCGTACGTACGTATGACTCGTCAAATTCCTGCAGGGCAAAAAACACCGTAAATTGTTTTATTTTCTTCTTGAGTCAAATTTTTATGATTTACATACTCATCTCCATGTTTGCCTGGAGATTCACATGCACAGGAGAAAGTAATGATTTCTTGTGTTCAACTTTAATACCAATCCTGGAATATTTGGGACTATATCTCAGTTGGAGTTGTAACAGAGTCCCTCAGAGTATGCAGGACTCAAACAAACTTGAGGCAAATTCTAAAAAGAAAAAAAAAAAAAAAAAGAATATTTGATGGCGATCCGGGTTGATAGCAGAACACTGTCCGTCACATGGTCCCCACCTGCAAGCTGATAGGCAGATCAGAGAGGATTCGAGGAACAAAGCCATTGATGACAATGTCCACCAGGAGGATTCCCTCAGCATCCAGGCCCCTGGCCACGTGAGTCAGCCTCAGGATCTCCCCTGAACATGGAATACCAACAGTTAGCATCATAGGCTGCTAATGGCTAGCTCATTCTAGGTGGGCTACAAAAAATATCCAAAGAATCATGAAAGCAAAGTGGACAATAGTGACCATGTGGATAAGCTATGAGTGTAATCAGCAGTAATCGGTTGGGGGCTGTGTGCTGCTCAGTGGGTGCCCCCCCCCCACTAAATGAGTAGAATCCAAATGTTTGGGAATCAGTTCTGGGTTCTCAGTTGTTGCTAAGAGGCAGTAATCGAATTATACACTACATTACTCAGACATTCTACATTAAAACGTAGACGCTTGGTATGACAGCCATGGTGCTGAGCAAGGGTGAGCAATCTAATCCAGAAAGGGCCACTGTATGGAGGGTTTCACTGCAACTCCCTAATTAGATAACTAATTAGAGGACTGATTGGCTAAAGAGTCATCACCTGGGTTTGAACAGCTGACCTAAAGGTTATCTCAAAAACCTGCATACACACTGGCTCTTTGTGGATAAGATTGGCCACCCCTGGTGTAGAGAGGCTGTGGTCTGGGGTCACCTGACTCAAACTCCAGCTGGGACTCCTGCCGGAACAGACCCTGGGTCAGGGAAAAGCCGTTCTGGGTAGCAGCCATCTGCAATACGGTGGTCCAGTAGATAGGGGCGAAGACAGACACCAGCACTCGCAGTAGAGGCCCTGGAATGCAAGCTCAGTGAGAAGAGGCCCTACACCGACGCCAACCCCCTGCCCCGGGCCACATACTCACCCACACTGGTAGGCACGTTTTCTATGTGTCCCTCCAAAATGCTGCTGCCCTGTTCATTCTTCTCCGTGATGTTGGCCTCCAGGAAGGCAACGCCGAATTCTTGCTCATTCACCATGCCAATGAGGCTCCCCCGAGCCCTCCTGGGCACCTCCCCTACAGGGAATTAGCACCAGAAGGAGATGAGCAACACAAAAACCCAACTCAACTGAAACCTGAAGACCCTGCTAGTCAGCACAGGATATTAAGGCAACTAAACTATGACTCTACTGATGAAATGATAAACACGGACTGGTTTTCCTCAAACCAGCTACAAACAGAATTTGACTGTAAAGTTGCACTGGTATTTACCATCAGGAAAGTTATCTATGGTGTGTGTATGTTAAGAAGAAAGGCTGAGGTACCAGGGCAAAGCCTAGATTGACAGGTCTTCGTTTCAGTGCTTGCTCCTTGACATGGTGCTCCACCATTGGCTGGGGCTGGATTATTGCACAATCTGGTTCGCTCTTGGAGCCCCTGTCCACAGGTGGCACTGCAGGGACCCCACTGGCCCCAATTGGAGTAGACACCTGGAACTGTAACAGCAGTGACACAAAGCAGTGATGTTAGGACTATTTTACTACCGTTAACGGACCTGTTTGGCTAATGCATTATTGTTGTCAGTGATGGGCTGGGTTCCACTAATCTGCAAACTGCTAATTAGTGAAGCTAATGCAGGTAATGTGCCTCATTTGGGACTCCTCTAGCAACTGCTCATTCGACACAAAGTCAAACCAGCAGTACCCAAGGATCCTTCAAAGAGACAAAGTACCGAAGGAGTCAAGTCTTCGTCTCGGCTCACTGGATAGCGTCCATGTCTCTCAGCCGTACAGCAAGACAGGGCGCATCAGGACTCTAAAGACTTGGACCTTCGTCCTCTTGCAAAGATATCGGGAACGCCACACACCCCTTTCCAGTGACCTCATGACCCCCCATGCTTTTCCAATCTGTCTGCTGTCTTCATAGGAAGAGTCACCAGAGACATGAATGTCACTGGCGAGGTAGGTAAATCTCTCGACAAGGTCGACATTCTCCCCGCAAACAGACACACTACTGATGGCTGTGCCCAAGAAGTCATTAAATGCCTGGATCTTGGTCTTTATTCAGGACACCCACAATCCCAGACACTCAGACTCCTCACTCAGTCCCTCGAGAGCCCTGATCTGAGCCTCCATTGACTCCGCAAAGATCACAATATCATTGGCAAAGTCAAGATCAGTAAATCTTTCTTCACCAACAGATGCCCCACAGCCACTGGACCCCACAACCCTGCCCAACACCCAGTCCATACAAGCATTGAACAGAGTAGGAACAAGAACACACCCCTGGCGAACCCCAGAATCAACTGGAAAGAACGCAGAGAATCTCCCTCCACTCCGCACAGCACTCACAGTACCAGTGTATAGGCCGGCCGTGATGTCCAGCAACTTCGGGGGGATCCCGCAAAGTCTCAGGATGTCCCACAGGGCAACTCGATGATTCCAGATTTTTATGAAAATCGACAAAGGCTGCAAAGAACCTTTGCCGATATTCACGCTTGCACTCGATGAGAACCCTCAGTGCAAGGATAAGGTCGATGGTAGACTTCTTAGGCGTAACACCAGACTGCTCCGGATGCTGAGAGTCAAGCACGGATCCTGTTAAGGATGACCCTAGCAAGGACCTTACCTGGCACTGAAAGCAGTGTTATCCCCCTGTAGTTGCCGCAATCCAGGTGATCACCCTTCCCATTCCAGATACGGACTACACGTCCTGTTTTTCAGTTGGTGAGCCCAACTATATTTAGTCGGTATCTCTCCACTTCCCACACTGGCTCCTTTCCCACCAAAGAGGTTACATTCCATGTACTGAGAGCCAGTTTTGGCTTGCCGACGATTAGTCCATCAAGGCCCCTGTTCACCCGATCTACTCAGCACCCGACCCCCAGGGCTCCCCCTGTAGGTGGTACCCAACTGGGAAGATGACTTGTCTGAATGGGATATACAGCTATTGCTTCCTATCTGTGCTATGTCCTGTCTGTGCTGTATCATGCCTGTACTGCACCCTTCCTGTGCTGTGTCCTGTCTGTGCTGCATCCTGCCTGTGCTGCATTCTGTTTATGCTGCATCCTGCCTGTGCTGCACCCTGTCTGTGCTGCATCCTGTTTGGTCAGAGCCTTGTCTGTGCTGCAGCCTGCCTGTGCTGCTTGATGCCTTGCTTGATGTCATACAAAAAGACCCCCATATCACCACACTGGACTGGAAGCTAACAGAAGCGGACAGATGGATGAGTCGGCAGGCCCATGCATCACTCACCCTGTATTCTGAGTGAGATGCTGCGCTCAGCTGACCCTGCCTCACTCTCTGCCACACACCGGTACTCCCCAGAGTCATCGCTCTGAAAGACAGTGGACATGGCAGCCAGGCCATGTCAGGTCTCAGGGTAAGACAGGCTAAATGGGAAACTGAACCATGACCGTGTAAGTGCAGGGTGTGATGACCGTGTCAGTGCAGGGTGTGATGACCGTGTCAGTGCAGGGTGTGATGACCGTGTCAGTGCAGGATGTGATGACCGTGTCAGTGCAGGGTATTAGCTTGTACAGAGAGCATCCAAAGCAGGCCCCTACCAGCACGCCATAAATGGCTAGGGAGCCATTGTGAAGGCTGTGTAAGCGCAGAGTGTTCAGCAGGGGGCGGCCATCTCGGCTCCAGCGCCGGGTGGGCATGGGGTCACCTCGCATCGGACAGTCCAGCATGGCCAAGCGCCCCAGTGCCACGGTCTGGATGGTGTGCGCCTCCCCTCTCAGGACTGGGGGCTCTGAGGAAATGGAGAAGTATTTTTAAACTACTTCTGCATAAAATGAGGCATCAAAATCCACAGTGGGTGGGGACATTTGGCATGTCTCTCATTAGTTAGAACAGTTCCTGTTAGAACAAATCAGATAACTCGAAACCTTCCCTTCATTTCCCTTATTGCTATGACAACCTACTCCCACTGAACAAATGTTAAGCAGAAAGTTAACCTCTCCAGCTTATTTTATTATTATTATTATTATTATTATTATTATTATTATTATTATTATTATTATTATTATTATTACTACTATTCAGTGTTATTTCAAGTTAAATATATCATATGTCATAATACATAATGTGATGTTTGCAGAAAAATGATCATGTTGTCCTGGGTGCTTGAGCTTGTTCTGACACAGGGCACCAGGTCCATTCCTGCTGATGTCAGCACCATGCCTGTGTGGAAGCGCCTGGACATTTGGCTGGATGTCTCACCCCGAACCCGCACAAAGGAGAGCGCCCGGATGGCGCCCACGCTGTTCTCAGCCACGCACACATAGGTGCCTGCGTCAGTCAGAGTCACGTTCTCGATGAGCAGGGAGCTCCGGCCAGCCTCATCCACACTGGGCCCTGGTGGAGGCAGATGGACAGCCGTTAGCCGTTAGCCACCTCCCAGCTTACCAACCGGATTAAGTGACATTAAGTGACAGTTGCATTTTGCCAGTTGTTTTCAATTTTATCTATTATTTCTGTGCAACTCAAAGGGTGACCCCTCCCCACTGAAGGTACTGTTTGTTTAAACACCATGCCACCGACAGTGCCACCTGTTGGCCTCATACAACACCCACCCACAAGGCCTGACAGCGAGGTGCTTCAGCCCCTGCCCCGGGCTCCATCCTCCCAGTCTGGCCTACCTGGGAAGGGGCTGTTGTTGGCCATCCACATGACAGCGGGTGTGGGCGTTCCCTGGGCATGGCAGGACAGGCTGAGGCGCTGGCCCACGTTCAGGGTCACATCGCCAGGCAGCTCCTTGAAGGCGGGGCGCCGGTTGACATGTAGATGAGCCTGCTGTCGGGCCGTGCCAGCGGTGTTCACTGCCACACATGTGTACATGCCCGCGTCAGCCGGCTGTGGGGAGCACAGGAAGAGGGAGGGGCCAACAGAGGCGTGCAAAGGTAAGTCAGGGTAAACCATCACTGGGTATTTTTAAATTCATGGGAGGACAAAGAAATGAAAGAAAGGGTGCGTTCGACTTCATGCAGCCGCTTACAGCGCTGGCTTAAAGCAATGCATTCTGGTCCTGATGCAATGCATCATGGTTAGATATTTTTTGTCCGGCGCTGCAAAACGTCACCACACGCCACCATGTCACATGGTACAAAAACCTCGCGAGAGCAAGACGACTTAAGACAGATCGTGCAGCACCTCTCAGCCGGCTGCACAAACTGGAACCGCCTCCGTGACGACACAACTTTGCCCTTATTGGCTGAAGAACGTGACGTTTGTATGACGTTTGTATCCCAGGAAATTCTGATGCGTTATCTGCTATTTCTCCTGAATATCACGTAAAGCAGTGAGAACTGGTTTTCAGTTAATTTACCTCGTAAAATAAAATTTAAATAAGTGACATAAATGCTCTAATAGTACACGTAAGTTAGTGATTTATTTATTGTTAGTTACTGTAATGATGCGCTGCTTTGTTTGTTTAATCGTCCAGTCTGTGAATTGCATTGTATACAGTACATGACAATAAAAACTTTGAATCCTTGAAATACGTGTCTTTGATCTTTTTCCTGGCAGCTATCTTTTTACACAGGGCCACTATACACAATAGTTTATTTTTTTTCCACTGCTAACAGTTTGGATCAGGAGTTGGTTATTGTAAAAGAAGTAATGTGCATGGCGGTGATATTTGTATAGATTTATCTACACCCTTCTGGCAGGGCTGCCATTGCAGTCAGGTCTCGCAGACTAAGAGGAGTAGAAGTTGTCCGACTTGGCTGCATTCAGTTTATACTCCACCCCTGCAGCCGCCGGCAGATCTCGCTCCACGTCACGTCAGCTGCAGACAGACCTAAGTCCTACGTCAAAGGCACCGCACCCAAAGAAAGCCAGATGACATGAGAGGAGAGGAACCAGAAACTCCCCAGTAAGGAGAAAAAACCTCTGGGGGTCCAAGGTCAGCTGGCTGCACATGCTAACATTATAAGAAAGAAAGAGTGGGCTTGCTTGGTAAAAGCAAGATGTAAACTGTGAGTCATGCCAAAGTCCATCAATCGCTATGTTGGCCTGTGTAGGGTGGCTGATTGAAGTATGCACCCCCGACAATAAATACAACCTTAAGGTTCAATGTGAACATATCTGGGTCGTTAACCTATCAGGACCACTAGCTTCTGCCTCTGACCTCTGCCCTTTCGATGATCAGCTCCCCAGAACGCAGCATGGTGAACTTCCCCGGGACGGCCCTCAACGCCACACCTTCCTTCTCCCATGTCACCCTGGGCTCTGGAGAACCCTGGGCAGCACAGGGCAGAAGGGCCTGGAATCCCTGGATGACGGACAGTTCCGACTGTCCAACTGGAATCATTGGTGGAACTGAGCAAGAGAGAAAGTTGCAACGCAGATGGTTGAAACCAGTCAAGTGATACGTGATAGAACATTTCAAAATGAAGTGATTCTTTTTAGCATATCTTTTGGTTTGTCATTGGATGCAGCTTAACTACTTTTATGATGCTGAGAAAAGTAAGCAGGGGCATATACAAGAACAGGACCACAGGGGCACTGACCCTAGCTGAAAGCTGACTGGTCTCATCCCTTGTCACTCACCAACACAAAACATCTCATTCGTTAATGATAATGTTGGCCCTTTTACACCCACTACCTTGAAAAAAGTCTAGAATTGCCCCTGAAATTGAGTTGATGAGGGTTGGGAAAATCAAATCACCAGTGCAGCTCACCATGGACAATGAGCCGGACATCAGCACTACCGCGGCCGGCCGGGTTGCTGGCGGAGCAGGTGTAGAGGCCGCTGTCTGTGCGCTGCACAGCAGCGAGCCACAGAGTGCCATTGGCGAACATTCGCAGCCGCGCCCCCTCGGCCACGGGCCGCCGGTCCCGCAGCCATGTGATCTCAGGCGTCGGTTGGCCCTCCACCTGGCATCGCAGGCTGACTGGCTGGCCCAGCACCGCCACCTGCTCCGGGTGCGCTGCGGTGATCACGGGGGGCACTGTGGGGGGCAGACGCGATAACAGGGATAGAATGAGGGAAAGGGGCTTACGTTCACGGCAGAGATACGTCACCTCGACTTCACGTCGGTGTTAAATGATCATGAGAATTTACATAAATCAGAAAGATAAAATTGAATTAACAAGGCGCAGGCAGCTCCTGACTGACGCAAGTAATCCATTAAACATAAATCCGATTTTACATAAGCTGAATTTACCTTCCCCATCATTAAAGACACCTTATAGCAAAAAACACCCACCCATCTATCCATCCATTTTCTGTACCCACTGTTCCTATTGAGCGACATGGAGGGTCCAAAGTCTATGAGCACAAGGCAGAGAACAGCCCAGGATGGGGCACCAACCCAAAGCAGGCCACACTCACTCACCAATCACTCACACACCAGTCACTCCCACACCATTCACACCTACAGGCATTTTGATAACTCCAATTAACCTCAGCATGTTTTTGGGCCGTGGAGGGAAACTGGAGTACCCAGAGGAAACTCCACAATGACACAGGGAGAACATGCAAACTCCACACACATGGAGCCATGGCAGAGGCTTGAACCCTGGTCCCAGAGGTGTGAAGCGCTAACTACCGTGCTGCCCTAGCAAAAAAACACATATGCCAAAAATATACTTAGAATAAATACTAAAGAACACATATTATGTAAGTCAAAAGAAACTTCTATGTATGTATTTGTTTTCTGTAATTATGGATTTACATAATTCAGTTTTGCATAAATAGAGCGCTGCTTGTATATACACTGATCAGTGCTGTGAACAGTCATAATCAGTGCAGGATCATATTTCTCTAAATGTGTCACTGTCCAGTGTTCCTCTGGGTGTCCCAGCGGTTGTTGGGATGTTACACCAGTGCAACATTCTGGTTGAGTACTGTATTTCTCACAGACTGTTGCCATGACAACAAAACACACTGCTCTTCCCTGTTAATGTCTAAGTGAACCGACACATTTAGCATACAAAGGATGACCCCCCCCTCCCCGCCCCGCCCCGCCCCCTGGCCCTGGCCCCCATGGTACCTTGTAGGACGAGCCGTGTCCTCCCCGTCGCCGTGCCAGCCTCGTTCTTCGCCAGGCACTCGTACACGCCAGCGTCACCCAGTGTCACCCGAGAGAAGTGCAGCTCGCCGCGGGGAAGGACCGCCAGCCGCGAACCTGAGTGTCCGAAACGGCAGCGATGTGTATCTCTGGGCCTCGGCCAAGACGACCCACATCATAGTACCATGTAGCAATACACAAACCGGTTTGCGCATCATAAAAAAGGTAAAACTTGTATGTAATAATTATCTCTTTATATGGAAATTTTCAGAATTACCAGCCATTCAAATAACAGAATACCGAGTGTCCTCTTTAGTGGTGTAATTCATTTACTTATGAATAGCTTACTACCAATGCCCTAACATAATTATAGTTCTTCAGGTTTACTCTAAAGTTTGTGGTTCTTCCACTATATTTAATTGCCGTATGACAAGTTTTACAAACAACGTGGGACTCATCTTTTGTAGAAAACCCAAACATTCCCATACTTTGGACTTAGCAGGGCATTTTGGAAAGGTATTTCCTAGATCCCATGGTTTTGTACATTACATGTTTGGAATAAGACCTACGTATGATTAAGCGTAGCTAAGCTACAGCCAAGCTACCGTTTTAATATACCAGTTTTGCCATGCTACATCGCTATTTGTAAAAAATAGAAGTTACTGCAAAAGCTAGTGTTTTAAAAGTAGCTGCGCTACTACTAAGCTACTAAGAAAAGTAGATAGTAGTGTCGCTAATTGAAGATAGCTACTCCCCAACACTGCGCAGGACAGCCCATAAAACTCAGTATATGGCCACCTAAAGGCTGTTGGTTCAAATCTCAGCAATGTTGTGATGCACATACATTAATAGACTGTTCCAGCTGCCCAATGATGATTATCCACTCCTGTAAAAGGATAACATCTAAGATCGCTAAGCTATTAATACATTTAATAAAATGTTATGCATATATTTAAGACAATAACTCTCTCACCAGTTGCTATGGGTACGCCCTCCCGTTGCCAAGTAATGGACGGTCTGGGGAAGCCTTGGACGTCACAGGACAGAGCAATCCCACGATGCAACAGCACTTGCACTTCCTCGGCCATGGGCTGTATTTCCGGTGGCTCTGTGTTGGGCACAACACGGATATTGGCTGCTTTTTTTGTTCTTCATGGACATAAACTAATGATTGCTCAAAGGGTAAAATATATATATATATGGTCAGGTCATATAGTCTAAATTATTATTTTTTAAAATCAATTTGTGAACTTTAACAAATTGACCATCAAATGGACACTCTTCCCATGTAGCGTTTCTTGTGGTCTGAGTGCCCCAAGATATCAAAAAACACATTTTAACATCCTATTAACCAGCATAGTGAACTATGCAGCTGACAACCCTCACCAGTTTTGGGGATCCGTAATGGTGCTTTTCCACTGCCACTAGGAACCAAGCCATACCTGACCCATACCGCAAACTGATGGTTTTCCATTATAAATTATGCAAGTTGTACCCAAGCTGTACCCGCACTGACATGCTTATAGCAGGCCGAAAGTGTGCCTAAACCAAGCTGGTTGTGTCACGACCATTTGATTGGTCGAAATACACTGGGACAAAAAAAAAATAAACGGTCATCTGCGTCAATAAGCTAGGGAAAAAAGGACATATTCTATACATTATTCATTACTAGTAGTATCAGAATGTCTATTTATGTATTCAAAATAATTCGGAACTTAAAGAATTACTATAGTACAGAAGAACAGAATGGATTTGTAATGCAGGTTTTCACAAGCTAATAGCAATTCTCACAGACGTGCTAGCAGAAATGAGTACATAGTAAATCATGATGTAAACCATGTGAACGATAAATATGCGCCAATGTTGCTCTCCAAACTTGGCAGCGCCTTTACCAACCCAACCCTTCTGCAGTGGAAAACCGAACCAAGCTGGAACCTCACTGCAACTCGCCTGTCTTCGTGGTACGGGTTGGGTATGGTTCGGTTCCTGTATGTCAATGGAAAAGTGCTGTAAGTCTGTATCCCTGATGGACCCCATACCCACCTTGCACGGTAAGGCTGATGTGCTTGTGTGCGGCGCCAGCGGTGTTGCGGGCGGAGCAGGTGTACCTGCCCGTGTGGCTGGGGACAGCAGCAAGGATCTCCAGAGCCCCTGAGTCACGGGAACACCATCATTGAGGCACTACCTCAACCCACACCCCCCCACACCTCCATATCCTACGGTAGCAGCCTTACCTGTTGGCAGGACCCGATAGCTGGCCCCCCGGGAGCTGAGCTGCGCCCCCCCTTTGGTCCAGCTCACACTGGGCTTGGGACGTCCCAGCGCGTGACACGGCAAGACCACAGGTGACATCGTCACTACTGTGACGGAGGTGACATCATCCACGATGGAAGGAGGAGCTGCAGCAAAGTGAGGTAGAAGATGGGAAGGTCAGTGAACTCAGGGTGGAGATCACTGTCATGCCAAAGAGCTACACAGCTCCAGTGCTTAGAGATGACTGGTGTCATCCTTTAGTAGCCGGTTTCAAGCTTGTATCTTGTCTGTAATTTTAGCAGTTTGTGCTTTGGTGGGTTTTGGACGTGATCGGTAGGTTGCGGGTTCAATTCCTAGGGTTGGATGAGTGATTTCACAGATGGGCCCATGAACAAGGTCCTTAATTCCCAATTGCCCCAGGGACTAACTGACCCGGCTTTCTTACGAATGTACATTGCTATGGATTACAGCTAAATAAATAAAATCTAAATGATGCTTAGAGCATAAATCACTCAGACTTACTGATCTCAGGTTTTGTTACATAAGTAAGTTATAATAAATAGCACTGCAGGAAAGTGGGATATAGGGACATTACTGGGGGAATTAGAAAAAAAATAGATTAAATATATTTTTTAGGCTGATAAAACACCTTGCAGGATGACCTCAATGACCCTTCGCTCCTCTCCAACCTCATTGGCTGCTGTGCATTCGAAATATCCTTCATCCTGATCAGACGGGGCCAGAATGACCAGGGAGCCAGAGGAGAGTAACCTTAAAAGGGAGAATCCCGAGGAAATCGTTACAAGATCATTAAAGCAGCGCAAAACCGGCAAAAGCCAGACAGACGTATTCTGGATCTTTCTCACTTCCCATGAAGTGGGACCAGGAATACCTGTAGGCTCCGGACTGCTGGGTGAGGTCGAGGGGTGTCCCATTTCTTCTCCAGGACACCTTGGGTGGAGGTACACCTATGGTGTCACAGCTCAGGACTGCCCTCATGCCCGTCGTCATGGTGACGTTGAAGGGGCCAGGACCAATGGAAGGACCCACTTTGGTGACAGGTGAGAGGAATGGTGAGGTGAGAAACGCTGACCCTTTACACACTGTAGCCATCTCAACTAAAGAATATGGACTTTTGGAGTTCTGAGTACCGAACACGCGCAGGTCCATTCCACGGTGATCAGAACCAGCAGGGTTGGAGGCCACGCAGTAGTACCGACCGGCATCAGACGCCTGGGTTGCCCCGATGCGCAGCGATCCCTCCGCTGCACTGGTGAACCTGGGATATCGGTGGGCCCAAGGGCACAGACGGAATGGGTGTCTGCAGACCCAGGTTTCATGCTTCTGGGGTTCCACTCAAAAAGCAGCCCCCACTGTAATGGCGATTTGTGGCCCACACAGGGCCCCGTATAAATGTGTGGTTTGAGTGGGGGTAAACGCCACAGTCGCGTGTTAGCATGAGAGCACACACGCTAATACATAGGTTAACATACTACACCAGTCCATGGACTGTGTGAGGGTGCGGTCAGTGTGCATCGGGGTGTTTGGTATTTGGGAGTGGGGGTGAGGTTTACCTGCCCTCTTCCAGCGGCAGTGGGTTTCCATCTTTCCTCCAGGTGACCGAGGGGGTGGGCTCTCCTTCAGCCTCGCAGGGTAGCACAGCAGGCTGATTGACATGCGCTGTCACCATTGACAGCCCAGCTTTGACCAGCGGCGGCGCTGTAAGGGTATAAGGTGACTGAGGATGAAGCCTTTCGAGTACTAAGCAACGTAGCTTAGCCCACAAACGGGTTCCTGTCAGGCAGTTTTGACTGGACCAGCTCACTGTTATCTGAGACCTCCTTACAAAGACTGGCAGTACCATCTAAAGGCAGCAGGTGGAGCAGTGATTACGGACACCTGACGGTTATCGGATGGCTCCTCTTTTAATAAAACGGATATTTGTACAATTGTAAAAATAAGCCAGACTATAACTTTTTTTAACAAAAGGGTTGGGCTGCCATGTGACCATTGGGGGTTGTGGATATCCTGTGGTGGGACTCCGTCATTCACATCACCTGTGTCTCATCATATAAAACTGGCAGCTGCCTCAAAAAACCAGAGCCTGATGCCTGATCCCATAATGCACTGGGGCCTTTCCTCAAGCCAGCATCAGTTTGACTGTCCCTCATGTCTCCCTTCATGCTGATTCCAAGATGACTTGAGTTTTATCCCTGCCCACCATTCTGATAAATCCGTCCCAACTCTGGTCCTGATACAAAGGCCCAGTTCCTGTGTCATGTGGTTCTGAACGTCCTTCTGTCCTTTTTGCCATCAGGAGTAAGACCCCACTGGTGATGAACTCACAGAGGATCTTCACCACGAAGGACAAGCTGGTGCTCCCCGCCGTGTTGGAAACCACACAGCTGTAGTGGCCGCCATCCTGGGGCTGTGCATCCTGGATCTCCAGAAACTGTCCCCCTGCCAGGCTCCGGATGCGTCCGGTCACCTGCGGCCAGCGGGAGAGAAATGGTCCCATCCAGCTGATCAAGAAGGTGGCCCACAACATGGCACAACATGGAAGAGATGTAGGCATTCTCACATAGGTACCTCACTGAGGTACCCATGGATCACATGGGGGCATGGTGAGATTAGATTATGTGTTGCATAATATCTACGTGATGCGTTCATTCACTACTCCGCATCATCCCGCCTCCTCACACCTGTAGCTGGATATCATCTTTGAGCCACTTGATGTCAGGTGGAGAGTCACTGTCTGGCTGACACTCCAGAGTCAGGTGACCTTTGGTCACCACAGTCACAGTCCTGAAATCACCAGCACCCAGAAGGGTTGGAGGCACTGGGAGAGGGAGGAACATTTCAGTGTGGAACTCTGGGAGGCAAACTGCCCAGCAGCAGGATATCATTTACCTTGAACATGAACCCAGTGGTTCCTCCCATCCTCTCCAGCAGGACTGCTGGCCAGGCAGGTGTACAGTCCTGCATCCTCCACCTGTGGTTGGTGCATTAAACATATACGTTCAGGCTTCCTGTTACACACACTGGGCTACCAGTGGTAGACAAAGCAACCAAAAAGGTCCTGAACCAGGAAGCTTATAAACTGAGTAGCCTGTTGTCTCTTTTGGCTAAAGTACTCTGTAGGTCTCAGGACTATGTAAGTGACTCACCTGCACCTCAGTGATCCTCAGAAGCGCCCCGTCTCCCTGCACAATGTCCACATCCACTAGGGGGAGCCCATCCTTAAGCCAGCTAAGAGTGGGAGGGGGAACCCCTTCAGCCACACACTCGAGTTCTAGGAGGCTGTTCACAGGGACGGACACTTCCTCTGGAGAACCTGAGCTGATCTTAGGAGGCTCTTTGTGAAATAACAAACACCACAACTTCGGTCATCACAGACAGAAAAACAACAGAGATCAGAATGAGTCTGCATTCAAGCACACTTGCATATCAGAAGCACATGTCCAGTCATTAGATTCTTTCATCACTTTCAAGAAATGCCTGAAGACCCATCTGTTCCAGGAATATCTCTACTAGCCTGATGCCTCTGCATGCTCCCTAAATGTTCTTAATTTCTTGCTTCTGCTGGTCATTGAATAGTCTTATTGGGTTCTTGCTTTGTTAGAGGATGTTGTGTAGCTCTTGCTCCATTACTGCTTACACTTGTAGCTGGGCATTCACTGGAAGCTCAGCCTAACTGCACTTAAGCCCAGTGGATGCCTCAACAGCATTAAGTTTGTAATGTGCTATTTGCCATGCTTTGAATAAAAGTATCTGCTAAATAAAAATAAATGTAAAGGTAAACCTATTAGTGTGGTACATATGATTTGTCAAAATCCCAGAAGTGGAAATATTGCCATATCCTTCAGAAATACACCTAAACAATGTATCATAACCAATGTGTACATGTCTAAAAGCTTGGAATAACTGGTGAACTGAAGTGGGTCTTTTCTCACCCAGAACCGTCAGGTTGAAGGTCTTGGTGCTGCTGCCAGCTGCATTACTGGCCACACAACTGTAGAGGCCGGCATCATGGGATGCCACAGCAGTGAGATGCAGCCGTGTCTCCTGGCCATCCAGAAGCAGGTTTCGGTGCAGCGACAGAGGTTGACCGTCCTTCAACCAGGAGAGGGAGGGTGGAGGCATGCCCCGGGCCTCACACGATAGCGTCACCAGTGACCCTTGCACCACTGTCACCTGCTCCACTGGCTCCATGTGAGCCAATAATGGAGGTACTGCAAGTGACGGGAAAAGGCGAAGGGCTGAAGTGTTAGCAAAAAAACATTAGCAGCAAAGTGTTAGCATCAAAATGTTAGTGCCAATGTATAAGCCCAAAAACATTTGCAACAAAGTGTTTGAATCGAAATATTAGCAGCAAAGTGTTACCATCAAAATGCACTAAAATATCAGCCTAATGTTAGTAAGGCCAGCAGAACTTGGGCTGGTGTAAGTAAACAAGATTGTCCATGCATCTTGTCTTCCACAGACGGCTTCACCATTTTTGGAGGAGACATTTGTGAAAAACAGTTTCTCTCTGACCTAAAAATGTTAGAGACAAAGCATTCACATCAAAATGTTAGCAGCAAAGTATTAGCCCCAAAGAATCAGCATAGAAATGTTAGCAGAAAAACGTTAGCATCAAATGTTAGCACCAAATGTATCTTAAAACATACCTTGGACCAGAAGGTTGTAGCTAAGCTCAGCCAGACCTGCCTGGCTTCGAGCCACACACGTGTAGATACCAGAGTCGGACAGCTGGACTGGTGAGATCCTGAAAGCAAGTGTTTGGAAGCTCAGTCCTGCATCACTGTTCATAATACTGTAGGAAGAGAGTGTGTGGGAAGCGGGATAAAGGGGTGCGCTCACCTGAGGACCTTGTCAGCAGAGAGGAGGCGGGTGCGGGGAGAGAGGAGTAGAGGCCGCCCATTCTTCAACCAGCTGATCTGGGGTAGGGGGCTGCCCACTGCGTGGCACTCCAGTGTCACCATGCTGTCCAGGGAGGCCTGCACCTCCTGGGGGGTTTCTGTCATACCCTCTATGGATGGGGGCTCTATGACACAAAGATTAGTCACGAGGCATGCAGCAATATGCTGATAAGCCAATCAACTCTAACTCAGCTTAGCTAAACGGGATCTCAACTGACCTGTCACAGAGAGAGTGAAGACCTTGCTTTCCCGCCCAGCTGCACTGACAGCCAAACAGGTGTATGTCCCAGAGTCCTCTGGCCGCAGAGTCAGCAGGGTAAGAGTCCCCCCATCTGGAGACAAGCTGCGAATATGCAAGTGCAGGGGATCAGTGACCGCATTACCCATGAAAACCCACATTCTAGTGCATCCCTCCATGGAGGTCAAAAAAACAAAACCAACCGCAAATGTTGAATATCGACAGAGTCCAGCGCTTCCCCGTCCTTCAGCCAGGTCAGCTGGGGTGTCGGGATGCCTGTTGCACGACACTCCAAGGACAGCTTGTCTCCAATTGGTGCACTGATCTCAGATGCATAGCCTGAGTCCAGGATTGTGGGGGCAACTGGACCACAGGTGAGCATGCATAGAAACTAAGGGTTAATACAGTGAAAACGTGTATTAGCCTGCTAAAAACAATACAGGTTAACAGGATGAAAATACAAGTAACATGGAGGCAGTAAGCTGAAGGTCCTCCTTACCTTGCACAGTCAGCCTGTACTCCTTGCGTGACTCTCCCTCGATGTTCTTGGCCACACAGGTATAGATGCCAGCATGGGAAAGCTGGAGAGGACCCAACTCCAGACGATTCCCCCGAATGGCCCACTTCCACTTCACACTGCTCTCTGTGCACCAAATGGAAAGAAATGAGGGGTGCATGAGAACATGTTTGGCATGTGTGAATGAGGCAATCGGCCAATGAAAGTGTCCTTGGGAATGTTGGGGGAATGAGGCAATTGGCTGATGAAAGTGTCCTTGGGAATGTT